AATTGAAAATCTGGTATCACCATCGTGTAGAGAATGTCCTAAAACATATTACTGCCACATATTTTAAAAGTAGTACCCATAGTGCGGCTAAAAAAAAATAAGGCGCTTACTCTGAAACAGGCTGTATAAAGTTGGTTACATTACATTACTTTACATAGAATACATATCGGGTAGGCGGACCAACCAACCTTGCACCGCGACCCTAAGGATCTATTGTACCCCGATAGATATCGTTATCAAATTTCACCGTGCAGTCCAATGCTCTTAACGAACATTAATACCTTGCTCGGCGAAAGGTCATTCAGATCTTTTGAGGAGATAAACTGCGACCCAAAAATCGAGAATCTGATACGGTTAACGGCAGGGCAGTGGCATAAAACATGCTCAACCGTCTCTGCTTCCTCCGCACATAGTCGGCATTCAACATCGTCGGCTAAACCCAACAAGTTGAGGTGTGCTTTTAATCGGCAGTGCCCAGTAAAAACACCCATTAGAACTTTTATGCTACTACGGGCAAGTCCTAAAATATTCCCGGGTTTGACAGTGGCGATGTTAATAAACACCTTAGCATGTCTCATTCCAGGAGAACTGGTCCACAGTAGGCGAAGTCTCTCTTCAGCCCACAGTCCAATCCTATATTTGGCCATCGCAAATGATACACCAACTGCTGGTTCCGGTCCCACAAACGCTTCAGCGCTGCCATCTCGTGCTAGCTTATCTGCCGCTTCATTGCCAGCAACCCCAGAGTGACCCGGGACCCAGATCAGAGAGACTCTGTTATCACAACTCAGTGTGTTTAATGTTCTCTTACAATCATTAACCAGAGCCGACACCGTTTTCACGGCTTGCAGCGCCTGGAGAGCGGCTTGACTGTCTGAGAAAATTCGTACTGTCATGTTCTTCACCCCTCTTTCAAGAAGGATTTTAGCACCCATGTCAATAGCAAATACTTCCGCCTGGAATACAGTACAGTACGTACCCAGGCTGTAGGCTTGCTTAATTCGAGGTGTCTGGCAGTATACTCCTGCTCCTACCCCTTCAGGCGTTTTTGATCCATCTGTGTACAAGCAAATGTCTGCCCGAACCAGAGAATTTTCATTTTCGATCCAGGACTGCCGCTCAGGCAGTACAATCTGGTATCGAGCATTAATCACTGATAGTGATACCGCCAAATCTGACGGCATTGATAGCACAGTATCAGTGCTTATAATGTCTTCCGCAGCCCATTGGTAGGACATGTCGGAACAGTTTTGAGCATATTGCTTAAATCTGTAAATGGTTGTTCTAGCCACTTTCTCTATATGCAAATGCAGAGGAGATAGGCCAAGCAGAACCTCCATTGCTAGAGTTGGCGTTGTGCCTATCGCACCAGAGATTGCCAATCCAGCTACTCGTTGAATTCGTGAAAGTTTACTGATAACTGAAGTCTGTCGGACTTTCCTATACCAGGCTGCTGCTCCGTATGTGATCATAGGTCTAACCACAGTCACATAGAGCCAGTACAGTCTTTCAGGGGTAAGACCCCAATTTTTTCCACAAAGACTGCGACAAGTCCACAAGGATAGTCTAGCTTTGTGCAAAACTCCCTGCAAATGTCCATTCCATGACAGGGTTTTGTCTAGGATTACTCCTAGATATTTGACTTCCTTTGAGAAAGGAATTTCTTCACCTTGGATAGTTGGGCGGATTAGTCCATCCAACTTTCGCTTCCTGGTGAAGGGCACAACAATTGTCTTTTGCGGGTTTATTGAGAGGTTCTCTCCCTTACACCAAGCGCAAATGGTATCTAGGGTCACCTGGAGGACTTTAGATATCCTCGGCAAACAGGTTCCTTTGACCATAACGACAATGTCATCAGCATAAGCTTGTATTTCCACACCAACGGCTTCGACTATCGCAATCAGATCGTCAACTAGGAGGGACCAAAGCAGGGGAGATAACACCCCTCCCTGCGGGCAGCCACCTCCCGGCCTGAAGCGTATCGTATCACCGTGGAGTGAAGTAGAAACTATTCTACTATCTAGCATATTGCGGATCCAACCCGCTATAGTTGCTTCCACTCCCCTGTCAAGAGCAGCTCTTTCAAGAGATTGTGGTATTGCGTTGTTGAACGCTCCCTCTATATCCAGAAACGCACAAACCAAGATTTCTTTATCCTGCAGCGTCCTGGATACTCTACCAACTAAGTTGTGTAGAGCCAATTCTGCTGATTTTCCCGCTTGATAAGCATACTGGTGGCGACTCAGTGGACCAGATACCAATGGCACCGTACGGATATACCGTTCCAGAACTTTTTCAAGGGTTTTCAGCAGAAATGACGTTAGGCTGATGGGTCGAAAGGCATTAGAAGTAGGGACCGAACGGCACATATTTCCAGGCGACACTCGCTCTGAAAATTTTTACCAAAATTGGCAACAACAAAGACCCTCCCCTGCTGTAACAAAGCAGGAAAGATATTGTCTTCTCCAGGCGATTTGAACGGCTTAAACGTTTGAATTGCCTGGTCCACGGATGTGTAAGTAACGACTTTTCTAGCCACACTCCAATCCGTATTTGAGGGGCGCTTTGCCTTGCAGGAATAGCCCGCTGTGGCATTATCGGCCCTCATCATCAGGCTTCCTGGGAAGCTAAAGTTGGTTAGATATGATTACAAATATTATTATTTAAACTCTTGAATAATTACTCTAACCAACCATTTTTAGAAAAAGTTGGAGAAATACGGAGAATTTTATATTAGCTTGACTAAAGTGACAATTATAGGTAAAATTAACATTATTACATCATTTGTTTCTTAATGACATGTCGTAATATTTTCAAAAAGTACATTTAGTTATTGCAAGATATTTTACATACGTTTAGATGAAATTTTTGAAACATAGAACTGCAATTTGCTGGAACATTGCTTGAAATAAACAGGCAATTTAATAGGCTGCAGTAGACCCTTTTCTATCTACGATTGCCAAATAACCCCGAACAAACGAGCAGATTTCTTTCAATTGACAATTTATAGAGATATTAAAAAGTAGTTTGTAATTGTTACAAACCACTTTATAAGAAAACACTTTCGTGCATTTTGTCCAGCTAAAATAGCAGCCTGAACCACTGTGCGTATAGTGTGCGACGCGGACTTTGGGGGTGAATTTAACCCCGATGGGCACTTCTGTAATTGATGAAATTTTAGGATGATTTAGAGGGTGGATTTTTGACAGAAGAAAAACTTTTGGTTATGTAATATAATTAATGGTCTGTTTTACTTTTAATTAAATTGTTTAACGGATTGAGAATACTATTATATGTATAAGAAACTTGAAAATATATAATTTACAACAAATAAACCTCCTTAAAAACAAATCGAAACCCTATACTATACATTTGGTACCTAACTAAAAATAACATTACACAAACTTAAAAATAAACAAGTGTTTCTTCAAAAGCAGAAGAACAAAATTTATTTTTTATGGTATTCCGAAAAACAATCCAAACGCAAACCCGGTTGTTCCTCGCAGGCGGCACAATAGTACTGAGAACTCTTTCGAATCTGCTTTTTGCTGTATACCCTAGATCTCTTCCTTTGTTTTCTGCTAAGCTTACTCGGAAAATGTGTTGGAGTCTCGAATTTGTCTTCAGCAGCTGTGGGTTTATGAGACAAGAGCGTTTTGATTACTTTTAATCGGTAATCATAGAAGCTCATTTTTTGCTACATAGCCTTTTTGAACAGGAAGTAACTGTTGAGTAGCATCATTGATAGCAATTGAAACTTCTTATACCATCTTAGAGTTTTTCTCTCACTAGAATAATATGCAAGCATATTAATATGGACAAAAACAGCACGTCTCTCTTATCCCTCCACTTGCTTACTGCGGCGCCCTGAGCATATTTTATAATTACTTCTCCTTCTTGTATTTTAGCTCTGGCGACTACTTCCAGATTCTCTCTTCTACCCTTTCGAAGGGTACAAGTCACGTAAGTTCCCTTGTCAAGTAGTTTATGAGACAACGCTGTTATAAAAATTACTAGTTATTAGACATTACTACTTTTTCAGCATGTCCTACGCCACCTAACTCCTCTTCAGCGCCAGCGTACACGTTACCATTCGACTCTGCTAGTAAATATAATTTCATCCCATATTTATGTTTATTTCCTTTTATAAACTGTCTGAACGAAAGCCTTCCTTCCAAAGCACTCATCCAACAAAACTGCCTTTTCAGGATAATACACCTCTTCCACTCGTTTATTCAAATAATCCTGCATATATCTTATCCCTCGCTACTTGGATTTTTCGAAAAATGGAGGCAAAGGAAATCGATTTCTGCCCATACATTTTTGTAAGTCGGGATTTGCAAAAAGTTCATCTTTCTTCTTTCAATAGTCCTGTAGGCGATTGTGATGTATGTTTCCCATATGAAACCATATGCCAAAGGAAACCTTCAATTCGTCTAAGGTGAGGTATTTCCAATCCGTGATTCTTGATGTTTCTGACGTAGATTTACTGAGAAAAATTTCTTCTGCAGAAATCCACAATATGGTTTAACAAATCGTCTGTGACTAGCAAATTGAAGAAATCATAAGGACGGGTACCTGTGGGCGTTATGCGTAAGGTAGGATTTCCCGAAAACAAAAATGTTTTTAGATCTGCGGTATCACTCCAGGTTGTCAAAATCATCTTCATCATCCGCCCCTGACCAGGAATCTTTTGATTCCACAATTGGATCATCGTCCGAGCTTTCAATTAGCTTGTCTGCCATGTCCTGAATCCCTTTTCCCATCAACAGCTTCTTTTTCCTCTAGTCTATACACTGCATCTTAGGTCTACATGGTCCTGCAACGGCAGGATCCATAACTACGCGAAAAAATCTCAAAACCCGAAACCGTCGCTACACAAATGTACAATAAGACGTATTTGAGAGGCCGGCACTAGCACAACCTTACACTTGAACACATCGGCACTGAACGTGTTAATTAATTAAATGACTTTTTTAATCAATAAAATTATTTTTTAGTAACCGGTATTTATGTCAAGAAAATTTTTATCGATGAATTACAAGCCAAACAAGATAACGTAACTAGAATAAACACCTTAGAAGATTTCGGAAACATCCACCCAGATCCTAACCTAACTTACGCAAAAGAATTAGTAGAGAAGTTACAAAAAGATGATAGTTACGAATTAGGGGCTGCTTTCGATGGGGATGGAGATCGCAACATGATTTTGGGGAAGAACTCCTTTTTTGTAACACCGAGTGATAGTTTAGCTGTAATCGCAAATAATTTATCTTGTATACCGTATTTTAAAAAGAACGGTGTAAAGGGATTCGCTCGCTCGATGCCAACAGCTGGAGCCGTGGATCTCGTAGCTAAAAAATTGCAAAAAGAATTCTTCGAAACCCCAACGGGGTGGAAATATTTCGGAAATTTAATGGATGCGAAACGAATGTGTTTATGCGGCGAAGAAAGTTTTGGGACCGGCTCAGATCATATCCGAGAAAAAGATGGAATTTGGGCCGTATTAGCTTGGCTGAGCGTAATCGAAAATAAAGCGATGAGTGTTGAAGAGATCTTAAACGAACATTGGAAAGAATTCGGGCGAAATTATTTCACGCGATATGATTACGAGAACGTTTCAAGCGAATCAGGAGATAAATTAATGGGGTATTTAAAAGATTTAATCTCGGAAACTAAAGAAAAAGTGTTCAAGAAAGGTGACAAAACATTCCGGGTGAAGTTAATGGATGATTTTAAATACGTCGATCCCATCGATGGCAGCTTAGCTTTGAATCAAGGGATACGAATCCTGTTCGAAGATGGATCGAGGGTTATTTTTAGGTTATCCGGAACTGGAAGTAGTGGAGCTACGGTTCGATTATACGTCGATAGTTACGAAAAAGATAATTATAAAGGGAATGCTCAAGATATGTTGAAGCCGTTGGTCGAAATCGCTTTGAGTATGTCGCGATTAGAAGAATTCACCGGGAGAAAATCACCAACTGTTATAACATAGAGAAAATTATTTTGTTTTGATTAAGAATATATTTTATATTAATATACAAATAATACTTTTTTTAAGAATTTGATTTAACGCGATTAAAAAATAATATACAGGTGTCTCAGCGAGATCGTTCATTAGACGATTATGGGGTTCTTCAATTGCGTTCTCTTCGACTAAAATATTTTCAGATTTCTAGCACTTCCGGTTATATTAACTTATCGGCCAGTTTATCGGTATATTGTACAACTTGCTATATTTAGTTCACCTTTCACCACACGTGGTGCTAAAACAATGGCGTATTTACGGGGGGGGATGAGTGGGATATATCCCCCCATGACATCTATCGACTCCGCATTGAGGTCTTATATATCATCTAGAGTGCGTTTGCTGTTGCCCCCACCCAAGGTTTATATATTAAAGGTTGTCTAAGTTCCTATGCTGCAATACTTTGATTTTAGTTTGTGGGCGAGGGGCAAGAGCAGGAGTGTTTCGTGACGTAAGCGATCACGGATTGCGCACGCAACCTCATGGCCATGTGGTGCTCCATGTCTTTGTTTAATTTGAATTGCTTGGCGGTATTATTTTCCACATGTGACGTAATGCGCAGTATGATTGCGTACGAACCTAGACAACCTCTTATATATAAACCTTGGCCCCCACCACGCTTAAAATGAAGCCAGAAAGGTCGCCATGTTAGATGTACCAGCTCAGCGGGAAATTCGAAATTCTTACATATACTTATGCAAGAATTTACATTATTATAAACTGGAAACACAGAAAATAATAACCAAAACAAAACATTAATTTTTTATTGATAAATAATTATTAATTATATGATATTTTAAAAGAACTTAATAATTTTTAGCCATAACCCTTATAATTAACATAAACTAAGAAGAAAATATTTAAAGCAATTCCGATTGATCACGTTAACCTTTGCTTATAAATAATTGTTAGTTTATTTAAAAAAAACTGAACAGTCCTTAATAATAAACTTTACTTGAACTTCAATTGAAGACCTCGGTGCAAGAAGGGAGTAGAGTAGCTCCATTTATCAAGAGAAGGAGTTGTCCCCTTCTTATACCGAGGTCTTCAATTGTTATTCCAAGTCATGTAACCAGAAACATTTTATGGACTGTTGTAAATAATCGTCCAACTTATCAAATTATAAAAAACATATGTGAAACGAAAAGAATTCGAAAACTTTCAACAAAAATCAAATGTTAATAAAAATAACAATATGTTTATGAGAATTGTGAGGTTATAATTGTAGGTACAATAGAGACTTGAAACTATAGCTAAGTTCAGGTCGGTACATCCAACATGTCTGACTTTCTGATTACCCCCACCACCACCACATACGCTCTCTAGATTATATATAAAACCTCAATGCGACTCCGCCATCCTTTTTAAAATATTAAAATTGTCCAAGACATTCGAGAAATAGAAAAACCAGAATTTGATTTAAATCCCAGATCGTGACGTTAAAAACTAAATAATATTTTAAATGTTTTGTCGTTATTGATGTAGATCGAAAAAAGATTTAGTTTTCAACATAGCCATCTAATAATTAAATATAATTCCTTATGACATTGCCTAACATGTATAGTAGTACGGTAGTGTTATCGCATAAAGGGGGATTCCCAACTTCGATGTGGGAATCCCAGCCGATAACAACCAGAATTCTAGGTTATTTGAGTCCTCGTATGTATTACGTTCGACGTACTACGTTGTTGATCCAAACGTTCAAGTTAAACCCTTAACTAAAGTACGTATATTGGAAATAAATAAATATTGTCGGATATTTCGTAAATTCATAATGAGTAAACAAAGTCTTTTGTTGAGTTTTCTAAAAAGAAAGTCAACAGATAAAAACGGTGGTGAATCTACGTCTGCTTCAACAGTTGATTCCTTTGATTTAGAAAGAGAACCTACTTCATCTAAAAAATTAAAAATGGAAGAATATGTTCATCCAGAAGATATTGGAAATTTTTTACAAGGTTCGGAAAAATTAAATCATATTAAAACCTTTTGGGTTCCGCCACCGTCGTATGGATTTCCTTTGCTTGATAAATTTAAAGATAAAAAGGTTAAATTGAGATTCAAACATAAATGGCTGACGGAATTTGAATGGCTTTGTTATTCAGCCAAAGAAAGAGGTGCATTTTGCAAATATTGTGTCCTTTTTGCTACCATCGGAGGGATCGGAGGGCAGACATTGGGTGCATTAGTAAATTCAAAAATGGATAATTGGAAAAAAGCAAAAGAGGTAGGAGGTAGGTGTTATAATAATATTATAAGTATTATAAAACTGACTGATTGTTCTGTAACGGTGTCGCCGCGGTTCTTATTTCTTCTATTGACTAATTTAACTTTTTATTTTCAAATCATATCAATTCTGTTACATATTTTTTACTATCCGATTTTAATAAGTTAAACCGTGAATGAAATTAAAAATGAAAATTATTGTTATTAGTATTAATATTTAATTCGCTAAGATCCGATAATAAACAGCAAAATATATTGGAATAAAATTAGAAACGTCCTGGTTTAGCCGTGCGTTAGTTAAAAAAACTGTTTGACGTTTCGGATGCCATGTTGCAACCTTCTTCAGAAACAAGTTCGAAGTGCTTCCACTTTAGGTTGCAACATGGCATCCGAAACGTCAAACAGTTTTTTAACTAACGCACGGCTAAACCCGGAAGTTTCTAGTTTTATTTCAAATAACACCGGCCGTGAAAGCCTTCGAACTTACAGCAAAATATATTATTGATTGAAGCAAGCGTTCATTTTTAAAAACGGGCAAAAAATAGGAAAGAGTACATTTCTAGATCTTTATTAGTTTTACGAGAATTCTTTATATTTGTAGATATTTACTGCTCACCAGGTACCACAAAAATTGTGTTTTGGCATACGAAAATCGACAGAAAATACTAGAAGGAGTTCAAGATAATGTTATTGATTTATTAGATGAAAATAGAAAAACTCAAGCAAAACAAAATCGAGATAAAATTTTACCAATAATAGAGGCAATAATATTATGTGGTCGTCAAGAAATATCGCTTAGGGGACATAGAGATTTCGGAGAAATTAAAATAGATGAGAGCTCCATAAATGAAGGGAATTTTCGTGAAATCTTAAAGTATAGAGCAAAAGGAGATTCACATCTAAAGGATACACTAGAAATGTCCAATAAAAGAGAACGATATTCTAGCCCAATAATCCAAAACGAAATAATTAGCAGTATAAATACGGTAATGTTGAAACAATTAGTACTGAAGATCAATAGCGCAGGAGCATTTTCTCTTTTGGTTGATGAAACTACAGATATATCGACAACAGAACAAATAAGTTTATGTGCAAGATATGTTCACGAAAATAAAATTCATGAAGATTTTCTGCAATTTGTACCTGCTGAAAGTTTAACCGGTTACAGTTTATCTAATGTAATTTTGAGTAACTTCGAACATTTTGGAATAGACTTAAATAATATGGGAGATTTAATGAAGTTCAGGCATTTTTTTGCCAAAGATGTGACAAGGCCATATATGTTCATTGCGCTGCACACTCTCTACTTAGCAGTATCTAAGGCATGCGAAGTTCAACAAATAAGAAATAGTTTGAACGGAAAAATCTTTTGTTAAAAAAAATTTATGAATCACAGGAAAATCCATCAACAAAGACGTTAAAGAGGCTTTGCGCTACTAGATGGACTTCAAAATATGAAGCAGTAAAGGACTTTGTAGAACTTTATTATTATGTTTTTGAAATTTTGAATGAAATAACTTCTTGGATCGATTCTGGTGATGCGCCAATGTTAAAAAATAGTATTGTGGACTCCGAATTTTTAGTAGCACTTCACGTGAATAATCAAATATTTAGTTATGGGTTACCGCTTTGTCGAATTTTGCAAACAGTTGACATTGATTTACAAGAGGCTATTGTACACACTGAAAATACTATTGCATGCTTAGAGGAATTACGTCAAAATTCTGAAAAACAGTTTGAAGATCTTTTCGACAAAGCAAAGGTACACTTTTATTTCTGTATTCTTTAATTCTATGTTGTCGATCCATAGAGATCAACATCTTTCTACAGAAGAGGTACTGGATAATTTTGCACAAAAACCGAGGCGTTTAGCTCTCACTTTGTAATTTTTTAAATTCAAATATATATACATACACATATTTCAATAATAGTTTTTTATATCCCCCCCCAAGAGTCAAGTCTGGATACGCCACTGCGCTAAAACACCGCGCGCGATGTTTTAACGACCAAAAAGAAATGTCAATTTTTGTCAAATTTGAATTGTCAATTTCTATTCTGTTTTTAATCATGGTGTTTACGTGTAGTGTGCCTAATGGTCCCTATATCAACAAAGGTGGATGGTGTAATGCATAATTATTCCAAAGATCCAGAGGTATGTACCATTTTATAGGCATTTTAATATTTTATAACAGCCTTTTTTCAGTTAACGTGTTTATCCGCTATTGGAAGATTGGATTTGTGTAATATTCCAATGGCAAATGTACGAAGGAGTTATAAAGTTTGCCAAATGCATTTTTCTCCAAGCCAGAAATTTACAATGAATTGCAATACATTCGCAAAAAATCGTTATACATTTTCTAATTTAAAGGAAACTGCTTCTTCATTTAAATTAAAAAGGTGTGTCCAAACATTGCGCGGCAGCAACATGCGGCGTTCGTCGGACACAACTCTGCCGCGCGCCTGTTTGGACGTATCAAAGAACGTGTGTGCGGCAGTGCTACGTTGTATATGTGAGACACGCCGCGCACTTTAGTTTATGTCAAAACAAAATGAATTCATTCATTCATATTTCGCCCTATAGGTCTTCACGTTTAATTTTATTGTAGTAATCTTTTTCTTGTGAATCCCACAACATCTTCAACGATCCATATACCTATCTTAATTAAACGAATCGATGTTTCGTTATCCATCTTTTTGTATACGATAACACGTCCACACACGATTTCACCCACGAATGTTTACTGTAAATGTTCGTTAGCAATACAATGGAACTGGAACGCGATATACCGCGCGCGTCATAGTCC